CATTTCCTTTAGGGTAAAATATAAAATATAAATATAATATAATAATATATAATATAAAATATAAAATCTTCTGGCTTTTAAAGGCCTCTGTAACCTGGTCTCTTTCTCCATTTCTCCATATCTTTGTATCTTACTTCCTTCCAAGTATTCTTTGATCAAATGTCACTGATCACTTTTCTGTTATAACATAATATCCCCCCCCCCCCCAATGCCTAGACTTCTGTCCCCTCTCATCCATCACCATCTCCTGGCTTCCCAGGCTTCCTTCATGTCCTAGCTAAAATCCTGTCTTCTTCAGGAAGCCTTCCCCAATCTTTCATGCCTTCCTTTTGTTGATTATCTCCACTTCATCTGGCACATCTCTTTTTTGTACATAGTTGTCTGCATGTTGTTTCCTGCTTTAGAACGTGAGCTTTTGGAGAGCAGGGAATGTTTTTTTGCCTTTCTTTGTATCCCCAGTACCTGCCACATAATAGGCATTTATTAAATGCTTGTTGACTTGATTCCTAACTCCTTGTTAGTAAGGGCAGTGGTGTGTTTGGGATTCTTCAGAGTATGTCCTGGAGATTTATCTTTGTTGGAATAATAAGATTGGACCAGCAATTGTCCTTTAGTAGGGAGGCTGGCACTATGGAGGGAAAGGAGGAAGCAAATAAGCATTTATTAAGCACCTACTATGCCTCAGGTATTGTGCTAAGAAATGTACACTTATTATTCTTTTGGTCCTCACAACAACCCTGGAAGGTAAGTACAATTACCCCTCTTTTATAGGTGAGGAAACTGAGGCAACAGAAGTTAAATGACTTGCTCAGAGTCACACAGTGTCTGAAGCTGGATTTAAACTCAGGTCTTCCTGATTCCAGGCCCAGTGCCTGGAAGAGTCCTGGAAGAGTAATAATTTAGTCATTTACTCCAGGTATCAGAAGTGAGAAGTACAATTAGAATTTGATTGAGAATATACCCAATACCTGGGTAAAACTCCTAACTAGAGCAAATGAGACTGATGGGGTGAAGGGATGAGGTAGTTTTACTTAGGAAATGGTACTGGGTATACGGTTGAACAGAGGTAGACAATCTAAGCAAAGACTGGAGAAGCTAAGAATGGGACAGAGCCTGGGGAGGTACCAAAGTCATAGGCAAGAGCCTTGATCGTTATCAGAAGACAGTGGAAGACAATGTTAAATACCCTCTTCCAATTTAATAGCTCAGGGTTTTTGTAGATTTGGGAATGAGAGGTAAGTGGAGGAAAGGCATTTCTGAGTGGGAAGAGAGCAGACAGTAGGCAGGATCTGCCTCCATTACGACAATAATGACTTTGTTTTCTTCAGCCTAAGAGGATTCTAGGATTGTCCAAATGGATATAACAACCTCTGAGTCCAATGTCTACTGGAGGAACCTCTGACAAGGTGTTTTCATTTACTTTTTGTAAAATGTAGTGGCCTTTAAAAAATTCTTATTATTTTCACCCTCCCTTTATTTGCCAGCTTCCCCTACCTGTCCACAGTGGGGAGAAAAAAGAAACACAAAACAAAACCCTTGTAATATGTATGCATGGTCAGGCAAAATAAATTTTCACATTGGCTGTGTCTAAAAATCACGTCTCATTCTTCATCTTGATTCCACTATTTTTGTCAGGAGGGTAGGTAGTGTGCTGCCCTGGAATCATTGCATTGATCAGAGTTCTTAAATATTCAAAGTTTGTGCTGTTACTGTCTAAATTTTTCTCCTGATTCTGCTGACTTTACTATGCATTTACTCTGAATCTTTGCAAGTTTCTCTGAAACTATTCCTCTCATCATTTCTTATGGGACAATAGTATTTTATTACATTCCTGTTATTCTTAAAACCCTGACAATGTTAGGGTACTTTGAGAAAGAGAGCCTCCATTTCAATATGGTTAACACCTGCCTAAATACTTTTAGGCGATTCCCCTCCTTCCCCCCATGTTTTAGCTCTAAGTATCATTTTTTTTCAGCATTCTTCTGTCTTTGATGATGGATTTGGTACCACAGCTTATAACTATAACAACTTATTTTGCCGTCTATTCCTCTGTCCCTTTTTCCCAGCTGTGATAACCCATTTTCCATATTTCTGGAAAATAAAACATTTGAACACCTTCTTTGTGATTTGTTTTCGAGGATACTGTTGTTCCTTATCTATTCCATGTATCTGACCATGCAAAGCAGTAGAGGATAGTAGATATTGCCTCCAGGCCTTCAGGCTTGGCTGGGCATGATGGATTACACTGAATGATACACATGCAAGGTTATGGTTTGGATGTCAGTAAGTGTAGACACCCAAGTGTTTAGTTCAATGCAGTGTGAGTACAGTCAGTTTCTGTTAAAAGTATCCCAGTCACCAAGGAGCCCTAAATCAACTTTCTGTTTATTTGCTTCGGTATGTTCAGTCTGCCTTCTTAAGTACTTCACATCATCTATTTATGTTAAAATGCTCATGTTCTTTGATGTTTGAGTTCAGGGTAACAAAAAAAAAATCATTCAGAAATAAAACCACTGATTGGGAAAAGAAAAAGGAAAAAAAAAACTTCAGACCAGCTATGATTTCATCGATGTGGACAATCCCTTTACTGATGTAGATTGCAGTCCTTCTATCTTTTTAAAAGCTGATGTTTCATTAATTTTTTAAAAATCATTTTCTAGTAATGAACTTTCTGAAACTTGCTTGTTAGTCCTGATACAATAGTCTGTCATTATGTTGAAACTTTTCTATACCTATGGGAGCTTCAGCTCCATCAACATAGATTTTGAGGCTCCAAGGTCACCTCTACACTATTGCTGAGGCAGCAGAGTAGGGCTTTATTTGGAGACTTGGGAGTGTAGCTTGGAGGGGTTTTATAGCAGTCCCTGATTATCCTTCTTATTTTATACCTAAGTGTTTGTTACCAAATGCCCAAGTCTCTGCTTTTGTGTTTTTCTTCTCTCTTACCATTATACATGAGACATGCTTCTGGAGGCTTTTATTCTTGTAAGTGCCACGTGTTCACATCCTGCTCTTTTCTCCAATACCTTGTCATTGTGGGCAATGTTGGCAATGCCCCACAGCTCCCTTTTCTTGCACAACAACAAAGCTTGGTCCATCGCCTGGACCTTAAATGTACTCATGTGACATTGGCCGCCACAGAGAGGAGAGACAGCCAGGGCACATATGGCTTGCACTTGACCAGCTGTGCACAAGTATGGGACACAGAAAGGGCCTTTTTATCTCCCATGTTAAGGCAGCTTAAAGAAAGCAGCTCTTTTCCAGAAGGTATAATGAGTCGGGCTCTGCCTTGGTTTGTGACAACTCTTTTTCTGTAGTTTTGAGCAGCTCTTGGTCTTCATGTGGTAGAAAAAATTAGTATTGAAGTTTCAAGGACTCTTTGGAATAGGGTTACTCAGAGTTCTATAAACTTTTACAAATATTTTGATAACTATTTCAATATTTTTGGTTTCCTTTGTAATTCTGTATATTTTATTTTATTAATTTAAAAGCCATAATTCTGAGAGGGTCCGTAGACTTCACCGGACTGCCCAAAGGAATCCATGATAGGAGAAAAACAAAGGTTAAGAAGAAGCTTGTCATTTCTAATGTTTTGGAAAAATCATTGGGTTGGTAGTTTTTTTTTCTCCTGATGACACCTGGTGACAGAGAGTGTACTTATGTGTCATTATTTCCTGTATTAACAAGCAGTTTGTTGCCACATAGGGATCTCAATAGTTTTTTAAAATAGTTGTTGACTGTTATTATCTCCAGTAAGGCTTATATTTGTAAAAGTATAATTCTAGCAGTTTGGGGGAAAGCTTATCATGTTCCATGTTAATAATAAATACTCTCTTAATTTTAAAATCATTTTTACTGATATTACTGTTATATAAAAGTTTGTCATGTAATAATGGTACATAAATTGACAGTGAAGTTTCCATATGAAATACTTTGCCATATACAGATTTGTATGTGTTAGTTGCTCAAATCACATCCCTAAACATGACTGTTATATGGTTAATCCTGTCCTTAATCATCATTCACAAAGGGAGACCACTCCATTTCAAAAAGGAATTTTTATCCACTAAACAATTCCATAGGAAAAAAAGGTATGAATTGTTCAATATTTAGAGGAACTGATTATCAATGCTGTGAACTTTAAGAACGAAATGGGGAAGAAAAAGTCCACAAGGAAATGAAATTCATCATGTCCTGGGCCCAAAATTGTTTTGTCAAAAGAACACATCAAAGTTTATTGCTCAGATGCTGAGACCATCTTCCAAGAACATCTTCAAAATATTTCTGTGATGTTTGCATGCCCTGAATTTTACAAGCAAATATATGTTATTTTCAATATAACTATTAGAAATTTGGCCCATAGTGCTACATGAACATTGTGTTAGAGATTATATACAACACTTTGAAAAATCGGAGCACCTGTGTTTTAATCTGATACTGTCAAGGGAGTGGATTATAGACCTCCAATTTCCATAGTTCCCTAAGGATGGTGAACGTTTAAACTAATATCTGTCAGAAACATCTGATAGTAATTGTCAGGATAACTTACCTTCCTATCCAAACAGTATGTCTTTGAGTAGATCCTAATAGTTTCCATGAATGTGTTACAGTGGATAGTGCTTAACTTGGAGTCAGAAAGACATTAGTTTAAAGTCCTGCCTTAGACACTTACTTGCTGGGTGACACTGGGAAAGTTACTGAGCCTCAGTTTCATTATCTGTAAAACTGGGATAGTTATAGCACTTCATTCATAGGGTTATTGTGGACATTAAATGAAATTATGTATATAAACATGAAAGTGCTATGTAAATGTCAGCTCTACCCTCACCCTCCAAGTAGTCTAGAATGTAACCTGATGTGAAAGCCTTGAATTTTTTTTTTTTAATGACACAAGTAAAAACTGTATTGTTCAGATGATTCCCAGTTTACTTTAAAGTTCTTTGTAAGGCTAACTTACTGGTGGTGATAACTAAAAGATCTAATGAATCCTTTCTTTCCAGGTATTCACCTACAAACAGAATACGATTACACAGCAAAAGGTGACAGCTATGCATCCATCAAATGAAGAAGGGGTGGAAAACATGGCTACACTGATAGACCTCCATGAGGGTTCCATATTGCACAATTTATTCCAGCGATATCAGAAAACTCAAATATATGTGAGTTCTCTTTTAAATTTGTAAGAAAAAAGGGTTAAAATACTATATTTAAAGGAATGTTGCTTTGTTCTTAAAAGTGTTTCATGCTTTAAATTTTTAAAGAGGACACACAATTCAAAACTAGTCAATTGGGTTTCCAAGTGTTTGATCAGTCGAAGTTATATAATACAGCTAACTTTTATATGAATTCCTTATTTTTTCATCTTTAGGGTGAGAATTTCCTTAGACCATATAGAATTTCTTGGGTTTAGGAATGATTTTATCTCCATTTGGAAATATATTTTATTTCATTTTTCCTTACTTGATTTTTTAAATTAAATTTTATTTTTCAGTTATCAAATATTTATTCTTCATCTCTCCCATCTTCTCACTGAAAAAAGAAGAGCAAAAACCTTGTAATAGATAATCATAGTCAATGCTTACTTTTTCTAAGAAAGTTATTTGCATTAATTTTCACATTGTGAAATGACAGTATTGCCAGATTCACCTAAATGTCTGCCAAATGTTTTCAAACAACAATGTCTAGAGAGAATAAGCTTTATAATCATACTATCATATTTGGACTAGTTGAGCTTGGCTTAAGCTAAATTCTGCAAGTGAAAATGTTTTCCATATGGTCTTTCATAAAGGTGATGTTTATTTTTAAACTATGACAACTATGTACCAATATCTGTATATTGTGTCGGAAGAGACTTGGAAATAAATGCATTGCAGTACCTATCAGAAGACCTTTCTGTAAACATGGCCTCTAAGACATAAAGGGAAATTTTTGTTTTTCTGTTGGAGAATCTCTTCATGGAGTAAAATCTCTGCATCTATACTTTTCCTGTTTTTAGAGAAAAATACCCTTAAGTTGTTTGTATTCGTATTCAGATTTCATTTTTTAAGTAAAGATTAGGAAAGAAAATCCACTGAGCAGTTGGAAAAATATATCTTTAGAAAAAAGGTTAGTTTTCTTATCTTACTTTGAGACTACGTGATTTAAGCTTCCTAATAAACTATGTGAATGGCCCTTTTGTTTTTTCTTCTGTAATAGAGCTCCTCCCCTTTGCCCTTGCAGACTGAGGTAGATGCTCATCTGAAGTTTGTATGAGTTCAATTTGCAGTTCAATTCAGTTAATTATGCCTTTATAGCCTGATTTAAGTCTGGGGGTAATTATATTATTATCTGTAAAGTAGCCACTATTATTTCCTCATTAGAGTAAATATATTTATAATGGGTGCCAAGGCCTATCAGTCTCTTCACTCATCAGAGCTTAAAGTTAGCCAAGAGTTCCAGCAGGGAAAGCCAGTGTCAAGCATGAGCTTTGTTTATTTCCCTGTTTCATCTAGAGTTTACTAGATTACTGAGGGTCCTTTGCCTCCATCATTTAAAAGGGAAAACCCATCATTAGAAATGTAGCAGGGATGCTCATGTTCTTTTAAAGAAATGATGCTAAAATATTTTCTTTACTTCTTGGCTATTACTGCTGAATAGGCTTAGGCAGGGCATATATTTATTAATTGGATGAGATTTCTTTTTCATTCTACCAGTAGATTCAATTTATTTAACATTTCTTAAGTCACATGCTGGAGAGAGATAAAGATTGAAAGGCCAGAGACCCTGCCCTTGAGGGCATTAGAAATTTTTAGTTCACCAGAATACTGGCTGCTCATAAGTAGGTTCCAACTCCAGAGAAACAATGCCCACAGCACTGTGGCCTACGAAAGAGGAGAAAATCAATAATATCTGTTATACGTCTAATACATTTCATATATATACACAATGTGTGTGTCTGTGTGTGTATGCTGAGTACTGAAGATACAAAGTTTAAAAAAAAAAAAGTAACAAGCCCAATCCTCAAGCTGCTGGGGAACTAAAATGTACAGATAAATGCAAAGTATACGTAAAAGTAATTTTGATAGAGAAGGCACGAAGCAACTGGAAAGGCCTCACATAGAAAGTGGCACTTTGGTGGATTTTGAAGGGGAGCTAAGGGGAGCACCAAGATGCATAGATAGTTGTAGGAGAACATTTCAGCACAAGACAGAGCCTTTGCAGAGGCAGGGACAGAGACGGAATGTTGTATATGCTAAGTAGAACAGTTTAGTTGAACTATAGAGTAGCTTGGAGACAGATCGTGAAGAATTATATGCCAAAAATGGCATTTGAATAAATTCATGAAGAAGCGTTTATTAAATATTGTGTGCCAAGCACCAGGGGTATAAAAAGAAAAGTGAGACAGTCTTTACCCTCAGGGAGCTCACATTGTAATTGGGAGGAGACAGCACATAGGAGTGTTCAGCTGCAGAGTAGGTAGAGAGACTAGTAGGACCTTAGCATGTGTCAGATAGCAGCGTTTAGGGATCTGGTGGACATAGTAACAGGCAGAAGGTAATAATAGCTAATAACTAAGTGACACAGTGGATAGAGTGCTGAAACTGGAGTCAGGAAGACTCAGCTTCCTGAGTTCAAATCTGGCTTCAGACACTTACTAGCTGAGTGACCCTGGGCAAATCACTTAACCCTGTTTGCCTCAGTTCAGGAAATGGCAAACCACTCCAGTATCTTTACCACGAAAACCTCAAATGGGGTCACGAAGAGTCAGACGCTACTGAAAAACAACTGAACAGCAGCAGCTAACATTTATATATATAGCACTTAACTGTGTGTCAGGTACTGTCCTAAGCACTTTACAATTATTATCTCAGATGATCCTCACAACCACCCTTAAAAGTAGGTGCTTTTATTTTCCCCATTTTCCAGATGAGGAAACTAAGGCAAATGGGTTAAGTGATTTGCCCAGTGTCACATAGAAGTCAGTGTCTGTGGCCATATCTGAACTTAGGTCTTCCTGACTCCAGGGCCCTGGCTCTATCCACTGCTCCACCTAGCTTCTGGCTTCCAACTGGGGAATGCCTAATTATCCTCCATTTTACCAGGAATGTAGTTGGCGACTCTTTGCTTATCCAAGGACTGTCAAGAGCCATATCTGCCGTCCACGTTGCAGGTGGCAGGGGAAAGGGAAGAGGCATTGTTGAATGACTCATGATTATTAGGAAGGGAAGAGTGGGCCCAAGGATTGGCATAGAACAGGGACTTTGGAAAGGAAATGAACATAGAGGGTCAGTATTGAGCCAAGTGGGTGAAGGAGGAAGAGGACATTGGCAATAAAGTTGGGTGCCCAGTTGGTGGGATCTGAATGGTGGGTGGACTAAGCCAGGAAAAGGAAACCTTAACCCTTGCTCACAATGAGGCTAATGGCACCTCGAATTGACTTTAGTTTCTGTCCAGTTGGGCCAACATGGTTTGTTGTTTGTTTGTTTTTTGAAACTTTGCTGCTTCCAAAGTGGTGCCCATGGCATATCCATGGTAGCTTCTCAAAATCTAGTCAATGATTGCTAGAGTCTGTGATCTAGAAGAAGAAATACTGGATTCCAAGTCTCAAGATCAGCTCAGTCATTTACTTATTATTTAACCTGTGCTTTGTCTCCTAATCTCCCTTTGCTACCATTTCCTCCTTTGTTCTTTTTCTTTTAAATTACCTGATAATCTTTTTTCCTGATAATCTTTTAAAGATTTTCCCTGATAATCTTTTAAAGACAGATACAAATATATACAAAATTGGTAGAAAATATGAAAACTTTTGCAAATTATTAGAAATGATATTTGAAAGGTCCTGCAATATTCCTTTCATTAACCTTCTGTCTACTCCAGTAACTATTTATTGACCCCCTCACGTACTCAGGACTCTTGTGTATTGTGTTGATGTGGAAATAGTATAAGGCCTGCACGCTGTTCTCAGAAAGCTTATGATCTGGTTGATGAGAGATATCAACACCTATGAAACATAGTGGATAACAAAAGATGATGTCAAATTATGCTAAGTGATATAATATAAACTACATGTATGATAGAATTTCAGCAATGAGAAAAATCAGTTTAGGCTTTGTGGCACAGATGAGGATTGAGATGCACTTGGGATGGGTTTAACTAGGTTTATGGAAGAAGGAAAGACATTCTAGAGGAGGAGAATAATATAAGTGAATATACAGAAGTGAGAATGTGCATAATTTGGTGATGGGTTACTGAGGTGAGTGACTTGATTAAAGTAGAGGGTTTCATATTCAAGGGAAATATAGTTGCATAGGTAGGGTTGGGCTAGGTTGTAAGGATTTTTAAAATTCAGGAAGAGATGTTTAGACATAAATAAGAAACTAGAAACTGTTGAGGTGTTTCAAGCAGAGAAATGACTTATTTTAAAATTTAGTAAGCATTCATTAAGCACCTGTTTTGTGCAGAGCACTGTTGTTAGGTACTGAGACTCCATTAGATTAAAAAAGAAATTGTTTATACTTATGGAGCTAACAATTTAGTGTGGGGTGGAGGGAAGGTATAACAGTTATCACATCTACAAATAATTATAGCATAACAACCCATAAATTTATTGTAAAGTGTCAATAAAAGTTGTTTGTGACATCTGAGGGCAAAAATAGTGTTACTGATGGGAGATCGGGGAAGGCTACATAGAGAAGATGGAATTTGAGTTGACCTTGAAAGTATGGGTATATTCATGAAATATGAAAGTATTCAAGTAAAAGGAAGAAGAATATTCCAGCTATAAGGAGCAATATGAGTAGATTCAAGCAAATGAATGGATTCAAGTTTTTCTATTTTGCTAATTATTTCTGCTTTGCAGACTGTAAATTCTGCCATTTGTTCTCATCTAAATTATTTCTTACTTGAACCAATTCTGGAACATCTTGCTGAGAATAGGAATGTTCTCTTGGGAATCCACAGTGCTCTGTGTTTCATTATGTGTTGGTTCAAATTTAATTTGTCTTATAATATTTGTAATGTTTTAGATGTCTTAATAGTCATTCTAATTTTATGATCTGCCTTATAAATTGATTTGTTTGTGTTATAGGTTTTTAACTGAATTTTGTTCCTCCTGAGAATTTTGTTGATTTTATTCTTTTTTCTTTATGTTCTCCTTTTGCTCACTTTCTGGCTCTTTCCC